GATATAATTGATGTGATTTAGTTTTTCAGTAGTTCCCATGAGAAAGCTAAAAATAGAACTCCTAACGATTGTCGTGATTGGATAACGCATTAAATAAAGTTTGAAAAATGTTGAAAAAATGTCAAAAAAACCTCGAAGTGTTCATGGTTAGAGTGTCCGCACTGTAAAGGATTGTATTGTTCCTGACATAGAAATTGGATGTTTTCACTTGATGATCCAAAACGTCTATAAATTTATTGCATTATCATGATATTTTACAGGCATCTAAATATCTCAGCTTTAGCTTCTGATTATAATTGAATGTTTTTTATCCTCTATAGACCAAATTCAAAGGGATCTGGCGTGACGAATCACGCCAGATTCCTTTGTTCACAACTTAAGCCTCACATCGGTGCGAGTTTTGAATTTGGTCTATAGACTACAACGAATTGTAAAATAGTGACCAATTTGAAAAACTGTTGCGTTCTGACCTCTTGTTCACATGGAAAGTGTATATACAACATGGCACAACTACATGCATTTACACTTCATCAGTAGGTGAATCTGCTTTGGCATATGCAACTATAGGCATAATTTGATGAGAGTACTATATCTAAGCACTAATTTGTGAAACGGTATGGGGCCAATATAAGCTTATAAATTAATTTTTCACTCAATGGTGCAGAACTATTATTTGGTGCTAAATAGAACTGGATTAGGATTGATTATAAAGTTAACTCCTTAATTCTGATAATAAAACTTGTTCTTCATTAAAGTGCGTGTATTAAAAGCATGCTGTAATATCGGCAGGAGTTTATTCAATACATTTCATTGTGTGTTTCTTATAAGACTTTTCGTCATCGTGTGGGAACAAACGGAAACATCTCGGACAGCAATACTCTTTCGAATTCCTTGCACCATCAACGACCTCTTCACCAAGTAGGTCTCTACTGTCTGCTTGTACATCACCGCCGTGGAACATGTCGTTTGATGATCTCTGGGACTCTGACGGTCCTCGTGGATGAATGTCCTATGACGTACAGAAAAGATATCTGTTAGCAGGGGTGGATCCAGGATTTTGTTCAGGGAGGGGTGCTGCGCACAAAGTTAACCCAGGGAGGGGTGCACCCCTTAGAATCAAAGGGAAAAAACAGTATTGGTTATCTTCGAAGTTGGGGCACAAAGTCAAACCAGGGAGGGGTGCGCACCCCCTGCACCCCTCCCCTGGATCCGCCCCTGGTTTGAAAGATAACTTATGCTCGTGTTCTGGTAACGATGGGGAGTCATTAGATAAAACAAGCTCCACCCCCAAAAACAACACTTTAAGTAGTTTTGCAGTGAATGAAATGATATAATAAACAAATGTAATAAAAAAGGAGACTGAAAATAATAGAGAGAAACTGTCTTAAAAATGAGTGGCTAGTTTGCCCTTTGATGTTACTAAACATGTCCTACATTGTCATGTGTGGGTACTTACTTGACGGTAGGCCCATGACTGGTGAGGCAAGTATACTTCACGAAGCTGAGATATAAGAAATCAATGCAACTTTTCAATACATTACAACTAAAAGAATAGTAGCCTTAATAATGATAATAATGATGATGATGATGATGATGATGATGATGATAATCTTTATTGAGATAACTTTTTCATAATTATGATTTTCAAAAAGGACCTCAGAAAAAGGACCTCAGCATTTTCCCATTCATTCATTCCTCCCTCCCTTCCTTCCTTTCAGTTCTTTCTTTCTTGTTATACTTACAGGGTTTTGAGGCTCTGATTGAATCGCAATCACACGTGCACTTTGATGTAAGTCTTGTTGGTCTTGCATCAGATGTCGTTCTTCTCTGTTGTATTGCTCTCTCAAGGCTCGAAGTCTTGCTTGACGTTCAGCGACTGCTTGTGCCTTTCTTGTCATGTCACTTAATCTGGTTTCAGGGTCAGAACCCTAATAAAATAATACGAAAAAAACCCTTTCAGAAAATCTGTTATCATAATGGTCCTTGTTTTCCGATGGCCTTTGATCCAGAGACGTAGATTATAAAGGAGACGCAGTGAATCACAAGCGCAAAGTTTTTTTTACTAGACAAATTCTGGAGCTTCGTAAGCACCGTAAAAAGAGAACGCTAGTAGACAATCTTTATGTCAGACATAGGTGCGTTCTCTGCTGCTGTTCACTCTTATCGAGTATAAGATCATACAATAAAGGTTATCACACAAGTTGTGCTTATTGCTTCTGTACTAGTGAACTTGACTAGGCTGACTACCTCTCTTTGGAAATTCAATTGACGTTTCAAGCGATCTTTTTCTTCACTTTCTTTCTTGAAGTCTTCTTCGTAAAGTCGAACCTTGCAAGAGAAAAGACTATTTAGTTATTAAAACCACCGATATACTAAAATAAATTACTTCTACTCTACTTTTTTTGCGATTTCGTCGGCGCATTTCCCTAAACCACCCTATCCTGTGATGAAGAGTAAGCCTTCCAATTTTATCGGACCACGAAACGATCTCTGATATGATCAAAACAGGGCACGGCTAGCTCACAGATCGAACCCTGACTTACGTAAGCTAAGCTGATGTTTCAGGACACAGCTTCTGCTCACAGACCAAATCCTAAAACAACCAGTAAAGGTGCAGACCGTACACACAATGGGACATCGCCTGCAACGTTGCTTGAAAGGGACTGTTTTTTTGGGTGTCGCACGAGGCGAAGTTGCATGTGACGTCGCAGAGGTACAAATTATTTCTAGGGGAGAGGTAGCCTATAGTATATTGAGAAAAATAATACCTGTTCTCTCAGGACAGATACTTCTTCCTTTAAGTTCCTAACTTCAGTTTCCAAAGTTTCTTTTTCGTTTTGCATCCTCTCTCTGTCTTGTCTTTCACATGCAAAGTCATCAGCATAAACTCGCAACTGTTGCTTGAGGACTTCAATCTCTTTAATCATATCTGGTGGTGGTTCTTCAGGCGAAGCTGCTGATTGGCTACTTGTTGACAACTTTTGATTACTGATCAGGGCTGATGGGAAACTCAGCCGGGAGGATGGGCCTGGGGTCTAAATATTATATTGAAATATTCGTCAAAAAACTAGACTTCATGTTTGTTAGTTTACAGGTGCTGGCACACGGTGCAACATTGCACGCAACAGGACTGTTGCAGCGTGTCTACCCCAAACTTGTTGCACGCAACGTTGCATGCAACAATTCTGAAGTTGAATCGCGCTCCACTCTTGCAACCTCGCGCGCAACAAATTTCATCGTGTGAACATGGCTGCAACATTACCTGCAACATTTTGAAATTTCCAGCCAATCAGCTTGCACCATATTTATAACTGCTGACCAAATTATCTTAACATAGCAGGCTGACACAAGCGGTGTTGCGTGGTTTTTGTTGTCGCGGTCCCCCCCCCCCCTCCCCCCGAATAAAAACCTTAAAGAACAATGCGACTCCCAAAGTGCCTTTCAAAAACGTAACCCAAAACAAAGCAAAAAGGTTTTCAAGGTAATTGAAATCCTTCTTTTAATTCTGTGGTTCGTGTTTGTCCCGATGGCGACACTAGAGAAAAATGTTTGCGCATGCGTGCACTTCAGCACGTTTTCTAAGAATTTTGAAGAGTTTGAGTGAGAAAATAAATGTTTGTTTTCTCAAAGTATACAAAAAAGTTCGCGAGTATACTTTTGTTAGACCAAGATACTGTATTAACAAACACAATATGAAAGAGTTAGCCTTAAGTTTCAAGCATGGACACTAAGTTTTAGCATTTTGTGAAGTCCAATTACTTAGGTATGTTTGAAAGTCAAATTTACATATGTTTTGACTAATTTACATACGGATTCAGAGCATGCGCAGACGTTTTTCACTCGTGTCCCCGATGGCTAGTCTCCTCCCTAGCCGTCACAAGCCTAAATTTCTCTTTCAAAACTATGCACTCATGCAACATCGAGCTACTACCTTCCAACTTCGCTTTGAAGTAATCTGCTTGTAATAAAATACTTTGTTCTCACATACTTGTGTCTAATAACTCGTTATTGTTATCACCTGTTGTAGTGGTGTATATTCTGGTTGCAGTTCGTATCTCTTTTGAATGGGAAGTCTGTTCAGCTTTTCTTGGAGTTCTCTGCACTTCTCCTCTAGTTCCTACGAAGGAAAAAGAATGACGTTTGATTCCATGTTGGTAATTCTTGAAAACGAAATTTAATGATTGTTGAGTTAGTATTTCTTGCTTTGTTCATCTACCTAACAATCTATTAACCCATCCACCCATAGAATCATCTATCCAACTATCGATTGACCTATACTCATTCATCCATCCATGCACCTAACACCCACCCACCCTACCACCCATCATCTACTCACCAATCAATTCACTTACCCATTCATCTATTTACCGATTATTTTTGATACAAATAAATCGTTAGGGTCCATAAAGATAAATGGGGACCGTGAGGAGATAAATTTTAAACTACCCTAACGATTTATTTGATTGACAGAAGTGTATTGCCCGATTTGTATGTCGAAATTGTTGTCTCGATCAGCGCCGGCGAAGCAATTAAAGCAAATCGCTATTGGCACTTATTCTACGCTACATACATTTTTCTCGTCCAATGCTTGTTGTTTCATTTGCCGTTCTTGTTCAATGATACTACTAGCTGATTTCCACATTTCAGATTCTTTAACCATATTTATTTGATGCTTGAGATCAGCAATCTCTTTGCCTGTCTCTGTTTTCAGCTTCTTGTATTGCGCATCCCACGCATGATTGACATCAAGGATCTGAAATCCGTCAAATAATATAAGCTTGCGGCAAGGCCCTGTTTCACATGAAACTCGTGTGCAACGCCGTTGCGAGGCAAACTTCAAAAGAGGCTGTTACACGGCGCAATTTCGTCTTGAAAAGGGTTCGCTACACAAGCTTCGGTTGCAGAAGTAGAAAGCAGTAAGTTCTAATGACGAAAGTTTCTCAAAGCCTAAACTGCGCCGTGTAACGACCCCGTGGAACTTGTTTTGCAACACCGTTGCACACAAGTTTCAGGTGAGAGTTAACGTTTCAACATGTATAAACAGGGCCTTGAAGCCCAAATCCATAAATGATTCTGATTCTAATTCCTAGGGACAATCGAGCATGATCAACCGCCATCCTGTTGGCTCTGTTCGTTGAGCATCGGACTTACGTACAGGAGGTAGTGGTTTGAGTCCCGGCGGTACCAACACTCAGGGTCTTAAAATAATTGAGGAGAAAGTGCTGCCATCTGTGAATGGTTAGACTTTCAAGTGGCTCGGATGACCACTTTAAATGGCGGTCCCGTCTCTCCACACTTCATCATCGTAACTAATATATATATATCATAAATCATTATCATTATGATCTGGACTCAACTGTCGTTCAATCAAAGCTAATCAAGTGCATACCTACTCTCGTTAAAATTGAAACAAGGACTTTTTTGAATAACTCACCTCTTCCTTCTGACGAATAACTTCTTCTTTTTCCCGTTTGACTTGATTTAATTGTAGTATCAACTCAGAACATTGACCACAAGCATATGGTGTTCCCAATTCTCCAAGTTCTTTGTCTTTTGAACTGAGCTGTTACGAAAAAATAACAATATACAGTCATTCAGTTTTATCTAATAAGTGAACTGCCATAATAGAATTCACAGTTTCGCTGGCACGAGAGGGAGAAGAACCGAGATTAATAATAATGATAATAAGCTATGATAATATTCAAACGGTCATGTTTGCTGCTCGTTAACAATAAATTTCATATGTCACTGATCTAGGAGTTATTTCACAACATTATGCTTTCACTGTGTTACGTTCTACATATTTTTCATTACTTCAAGATTCTTCAAGGTGGTATTAATATAAAGGGTCACAGATGTTCTCAGAGTACAAGGATATTTCTGGTAACTGATTTTTTTATTCTAATTAACCACATCCCCACCATCACAGCTATGACATCATCGCCATCAAACCACCATCATTATCATCATCACCACCACCACCACCACCACCATCATTACCACTACCATCATTATCATCATCACCACCACCACCANCACCACCACCACCATCATTACCACTACCATCATTATCATCATCACCACCACCACCACCACCACCATCATTACCACTACCATCATTATCATCACCACCACCACCACCACCACCACCATCATTACCACTACCATCATTATCATCATCACCACCATCATCATCCCCACTACCATCATTATCATCATCACCACCATCATCATCCCCACTACCATCATCATCCCCACTACCATCATTATCCCCACTACCATCATCATCCCCACTACCATCATCATCATCACCACCATCATCATCCCCACTACCATCATTATCATCATCCCCACCATCATCCCCACTACCATCATCATCCCCACTACCATGATTATCATCATCACCACCATCATTACCACTACCATGATTATCATCATCACCACCATCATCATCCCCACTACCATCATCATCATCCCCACTACCATCATCATCATCATCATCACCAATACCATCATCATCATCATTATTGTCAATTTGCTGAGCAAAATTTTCTAAAATAACTATTAGTTTTCCTCCTTTTAACTTTGCAACATAATGATTTTCTATCCCATGGTCTCTTTGGATAATTTTAGGACAAGTTGAAAGTATGGATCAATAGAATATAGAATGGGAGCCTACAATACATACCCTTGACAAGGATGACATTTGACTGGTATTCGATGCTGTTTCACTGGATGAGTAGTGTTCAATAGAACTGGTTTCTTCTTTATTTACGAAGACTGCTTCACCCAAAAGCTTGATTTGCTCTCTAATACTCTCTATCTCTTCCTTGTCATCTTTCAGTTGTACTTTAAGATCTTCCATCACCTTCTCCTGTGAAACCTTTGCACAACAAATCCACAAAGTCACCTTCTCTGAATGAATTGACTTACTGGTTGCACACTTCATTACATATTATGGAGCAGCTTTCATATAACTGTGAAAAGCTCTTTTACTCCGACGAAGGACTAGCGTCTGAAACATCAGTTTTTTCATCTTTTCACAGTGTATAATTTACCTTTTCATCATTACTGTGAAAAGCTCAGTGCTGTATGAGTGCCTTTTGAATGACTGATTTTTTTCTTGCACAATGTGTTAGTTTTGGCATACTTGGGCAGTGTCGTTACCTTGACATGACTATGTTGTCCATGCCAAAGGTGATGCTCAATAGATGATTAAGCAACAGACCTCATTTCTTTCCTATGCAATTGCCCATTTCTGACCACATGACATTCCCCTGAGCCTGAGAATTGTTCTTTTATGGTGAACATTTTAAAATATTTAAATATCAAAGAATCAACTCCCAAGAGCATCACATGGTCTGTAATGGGACAACAAACAACAAAGGTAAAATATGCAGGTCTACAGGAGATAGGTCATCCAAGGTTTAAATATCTGGAAYGACATGAAGTGCTTCTTATTACTATTCTCATCAAAAACACAGATGTTAGTGTTGAGATATTAGTTGTATGCATTCCGTCTTGTAATAACCTATTTTATATCTCCTTTTGCTCCGACAACCTTTTTGGTAATAGGTGTATACAACTAAAAGTCTTAAATTCACGTTTCAAACCTGCTCCATTTCCATGGCCATGAATTTTTCTTTCAACTGTTCTTCCTCATTAGCCAGTCCTTGAAGGAATGTCTCTCTGGTTTTTACTTCTTTGGCGTGGTGTCCTATCCTCTTGACTAGAGTCGATACTTTGGACACCAAATTTGCACTTTCATTTCTGTTCTTTACATTTCCTGTTAGCTCCAATAGGTTTTTGGCCTCTCCCAAAAGAACATCTGACTCATCTTTGATCGTTTTGAATCCAGAGCTCAATTCCTTATAAGATATAATGCATGTTCAGCATTAATGTTGATCTATTAAAATTTATAAATAAATATTGAAGCATATCTTAGGCCTAGGGCAAACGTCGAACTTTCCATGCACCGAACTTAATTACATCAAAGAATGCCGCCTCATTATCACCTGATATCCATTGTTTTTAATGAGTTCGGTGCATGGAAAGTTCGACGTTTGCCCTAGGCCTTACCCTCCATAAATACCGTAAACATTTAAACTTTTTTTGAAATTTTAAAATTATGCTGAACACCATATAAGAAAATGAATACACAGTTAAAATATATATAATTCAAACCTTGACCTTTGCTCTGTTTTAGATATATCAGCCCTAGAGGATGACTTAGTGATTTGAAAATCATCATAAAATAAATAAAAATGGTGTTTACTATCCTTTGTTATCTATTTTCATTGCTAAGGAATTTATTATTGAAAATTCCAAAATGATCACATCATCACACCGACCTTGAAAAAAGTCAACCATCCAATGATGTAATATGAGAATTAGCCCAAAATGGCTGAAACTTATGTTGTTTATTGAGTGGGTAAGACAATGAGTTTGGTATATGTTTTATGGTGTTGACATGCTGCCAATAAACCCAGTATTTGGGTAGGGGTGTTTCGCTGGGATTCTGAAAGGGTTACCCTGTTTATGACAAAAAACTCAAATTTGTAGACCCTGTTTATGACAAAAGATATAAATAATTGCACTGAGTTCCCGTTTCAATTATCATCGCGTATCGTTTTTTTACGACCATAATAACCAGTTTCGGTCAATACGAAAGTAGGAGACCTGAATATGACAGGAAACTCAGGAAGAACTTTAAACTTGAGTGAAATTGCATACCCTGTTTATGACAAGAAGCTCGAAAAACCATACCCTGTTCAGCGGATCATCCCCGTATAGTCCATATATGAGAGTACCCCCCCCCCCTGGACTATAAATTATAAAACCAAAAATGTAGATAACGACTAGTTTTTGAACTAGTTTGGACTGCATCAGTGTTTTTTAGTTGAAACAAATGTCAATGACTTCGACGTATTTTCATATTTACGGTGATGAAATTATCTACTATGATACCAAAAATGTTGCCCTAGATAATAGCTTATTAAACTTTAACCCTTCATTAAAATACTTGTCGAAATGAAATCCCCTATGATTCTCTTCTCTTGAGGATGCTCGGCAGTCTTGGGTACCCCAATTAATATTATTATTGTTATTGTATACTGAGGCTTTACACCATTCCTGGTCTCATTGAATTTGGCTTACCTTGATATGAAGATCACAATGTGGAATTCCAGAGGTCAATGGTGCTTCTTGGGGATTATAGTTTACATACTCATAAGAGGACTCAGAAAGACTGAACGAATTATCCTCAGACTGTGACAAGAAACACCTTCCTKCTGCAGCCATACTTGGTGTAGTTTGTAGTGATAATACTGATGGTGAGATGTTAACACTTGTGCTTTCTAGTTCACCCTTCAACTCAGAGACTTCTTGCCTTAATTTTAAGTTTTCATCTTGAGATTCTTGAAGAACTTTTGCTTTAAAATAAAATGAATACTCAGTGTTTTAGCTTTAGCTTGGAACTGCTCACATGTTCAGTTAAATATTACAGTGCTTCTCAATAAAGACGCAAAATCATAGAATTTTCTGTTGCAACAAAATAGAGCTTTGGTGGGGGTCAATCAAGGTGTTCTTATGACGTTGTCAGAACACACAAACCTTTCAAAGACAGAAGCTTGTGGGGCCATGTTTCCTCCATGCAAATTCATTACCATACCTCCTTACAAGGGCAGATCCAGGGGGGCAAAGGGGGGCTGAAGTCCCCCCTTCAGCAGAAAAAAAAACGATGCTTTTTTATATTGTTTTCCGTTGTGTTGATGGAAGAAACTCAATTAGCCCCCCCTAAAACTTTGGCTGGATCTGCCCTTGCCTTATTCTCGTACATGTATACCTCCTAGCATAGAAGACTAAGGATATTTCCGGTTAATGTGTGGTAAAGGGTTGCTTGTTTATTAATAGCTCTCTCTCACAACTTCAAAATTAGAGGCCATTGAAATTATAGTCATTTAGTGAAAGGAAAGGCACTCTCTAGAATCATTGTAAAATCCTCCCTCCCTTTTTGGAATAGGCCATTTCATGGATCCCGTTACTCAACCTCAGCCTCGTCAGCGTGTAATTATTCTTTAGAATTTGACTACAGTCCGCAGTAATGATATAGCGGCATCATAACTTTAAGAGCTTATAAAAAAGCAACGAGGCAACTAATCAGAAATCGGAGACACACTTTTGACAAACGATGTCATGTGATCTCGGAAACAAAATAAGCATTGGTTTCTGATCATTACCAGCTGTCATCGAACTCCACGAAGATGCCACAGTGAAAATTTGAATAATTCGCTCTAACTTAAAAGGATAAATGTATTTTACAAAAAGGGAAAAAGGAATAGTTTCTACATTTATTCAGCTTTCAGAAAATGTATACTTTGTTGAGGTTTCGATTAAAAGGTTTTGTGCTATTAAGAGTTGAATGCACAATGGTCGTTAGGGGTACCCTGATACCTTAATATATATATATATTTTTTTTTTGATATTTCAAACTTTTAACTTTTAAGTTCATATTCAATCAGCTGATTATCACTGGTTATATATTACATGTATATAATCACCTTACCTAAAACTTCAACTCCCTGTAGTCTCACATTAAGGCTTTTCTTTTCTCGTTGTAGTCTGTTTATTTCCTCCAGTAGTTTGTCCTGTTCCTCAGCGATAAGTGCCATTCCGTGTTCGTCTTTTTTTCATCAGGAAAGATATGAAAGTGAAAATGTTATCAAAAAATATTTTTTCACGAAGCTAATGATTTATAGATTTAAACGTCAAGGGATTTATGGCAGCATTCAATAGAAAATTGACGTATTTTCTAAACAAAAAGTTTTTGACTGTATCATGATTCGTGTACGTGCAGAACTGGACGATTACGCACTTCTTAAACAATGATAGTGAAGGAAGTAATGTGACTGACGGGGGGATCCCCTGTGAGGAACTCGCTCCAACAACACGTCATTAGATGTATTTTCACCATCAACGTAACTTTCCTTTGAAGAGGTTTTAGTGTTTGCTATCAGCCCGGAAGAAATTACGTTCTCCCTCTCATACAAACCTCAATTAATATGTTCTCGTGATATTCCCTTACCTGGTTTTGATTTTTCTATCGACAAAGTCCTAGAATGTCTAGTCATAAGCCATATCTGTTGCGTCGCAGCTCAGATTTTCCCCTCTGTTTTTGAAAAGGAATTTCAACTTGCAATCATAAAAAATTAAAAACAAACAAATAGTTCGTTAATAAAACTATTTTTGTGCAATCGGTGGTGAGAATATCTGAGTTTTCGACAGCATACGGCGACTTCTACGACAGTAAACGAAAAGACAAGAGAACCGTTTATGGCGGACGAAAGCCAATATGTTAATCAGGGGGAATCCCCTTGATCACGTGATTACATCATAGTCACATGATTTCTTAGCCACACAGGCAGCCCAAGCAAAGCCTTTGAGAAGTCCTTAGAATTGGAAAAAAACTGCAAAGAGAACAAAAATTCAAAAAGATAACAAAAAAGAGTTTAAAACGATTTTAATGACGCCTTGTATGATTCTTTTATTCATCCTTAATAGTACAGAAAGTTATTTTAAACGATTTTTGGCTATTTTATAATTTATGGTCTTACTTGTAGAAGGGTGAAAGGAAAGCTTCATTCAAGTGATTTTATTGAAGTATTTATTGAGTTTGTGTTTTTTTTCTATTTTATTGAATTTCCCAAAACATCCATAGATTGGGGTGCCTGTGTCTTCGCTATAAAGGATGGCTGGGGATGGCAAGGGATGGTTAGGGATGGTTAGGGATGGTTAGGGATGGTTAGGGATGGTTAGACATGGTTAG